ATCAGTAAAGATGGGTAAATATATTCTCTTCCTCCCTTCAAAAAAAAAAGGAGAAAAGGAAATATAAAGAACAAAGAAATAAGGAAATCATAAAGGCATAAATAAGCAAAAGAGAAAATTTTAAAATGATGAATATAACAAAAGCTATTACTTTGAAAAAAAAATAGATCTTTTATAAGCCTGATCAAGGATCAAAAGGAAAATGCAAATAAATAAAATATAGAAAGAAATGAGGAAACCAGACAGGATGTTTTAAAAATAATAAATTATATGTCAATAATGTTGAAAGCTTAGATAAAATTGATAAATGTATAGGCTACACTCAAATGTGAAATATGGCACAGAAAGAATAAAAACTAAAATATGTAACTATCCATAGATGAAACTTATGTGGCAATCAATAAGTCCTTTTGGAAGAAGCACAAGGACTAGGCCCACACGGGTTTATTTGTTTATTTTTGTTTCTTTGTGTGTACTGAGACTTGAACCCAGAAGTGCTCTGTCACTAAGTTACATCCCTGGCCCTTTTTATTTTTTGAGACAGGGTCCTGCTAAGTTACTGAGGCTAGCCTTGAACTTGTGATCTCCTGCCTCAGTCTTCCAAGTATTTAGGATTATCGGTGTATGCCTCCATGCTTGACATCCCATGATTTTATTGACATCCCTGTTTATACAAGCTGATCTATGAGACAGAAAGGAAAGGAAGAAGTAGAAAAGTACTAAAATCATTTTATAAGATCAGTGTTATCTTAATCCAAAAAATAAGAATGGTACCAAAAATTTAAGTGCGTTCAATTTATGAGCGCATGTGTACACCACGTATCAAATAAAATACTGACAAATCAAACAATGCATTAGAATAAAAGGGTGGTTTATATAAGAAAATGTGTGATTGACCACATTAGTGAGCTTGTGAAGAAATCACACAATTATCTCAAACATTGTAGAAATAGTTACATAAAATTTAATCCCTATTTATGATTTTAAAAAATCTCAGAAACTTGATTAAAAAAAATATGTACCACAAACCTATAGTAAACATCAGTGATAACTTACTTTGTGTGTGTGTGTGTGGCACTGGAGAATGAACCCAGGCCAGGGGTTCACAAGAGTAGCTGGGATTACAGGTATGTATCATGCTTCCTGGCATATAATTTACATTTATGACTGAAAAATATTTACGATTTCTGTCACTGTTATCCAATCATAAAGGGCCATGTAGGTCATTTCTAAGGAATTAGAATCAGGGTAGGCATTAAAGAATATGAAGAAAGAAAATGACATAATATAATTTGAAGATAAGAAAGATCACTTTGATGCACTGTGGAAGGGGGATTAGAGGAAGAAAGACGAATGGCTTGGGGATCATGTAGGGAGTTATTCTAATCACAAGTGAGAAAAGATGACATCCTGACTAAAATAACAAACATGCAGACAAGGTCTCAAGGACTTGTGATTTTAGATGTAGAGTTTAAAGAATTTGCTGATATTTCTGACATGTAGACATAAGGACACCAATCATAATTAACGCATGACACATAAAGTTGTTACATAATATAAAAAAGCAGGTGCCAGAATAAAATAATTTTCTTTTGAAATGTTGAAATTGAACTACTTATTTATTTTAAAGGTAGGCTAATAAGCGAGCCTTTGGAACTATAGATTTACTACTTATA